GCAGCAGCAGCCGCTGCAGGTCTGACACGCACCGGCGCCGAGGAGTATTTCCAACCACTGAAACGCCTGCGTATGTCCAGCAGCGAAATGGAGGAGTCGTCAACGGCGAATCGCACACCAAGTCCGCTGCAAACGCACAGCACTACACTACCGCCACCCGCACCAACGTCCGCGACCACAGCAACAGCGAATGCCGCCGCGACAGGCACCGCTGTTAAATCGAATATTGAAGGTGTGAAAAGCTTTACCATTGCTGATATTTTGGGTCATGAGAAGCGCGCCACGTCCACTTCGCCACCCTCACAGCTGGCAACGGTGACGGCACAGCAGCAGCATGCTGCGACTACACCCACACGCCCGTTGTTGGGCGCCAGCGGTCTGTTGCAACCACGCACCGAGCCGCTGGATATGGTAAGCGCTGCTGCAGCGGCTGCCGCTGGCATGCCACATCATATGCTTTTGCCGGGCGCGCAAATTGTACGCCCCTGGGATCATTTGTTGGGCCCGATGCCAGTGCGTCCCTTTATACCCTCAGCACTGTTGCACTATGAACAGCGCTTGGCGCTGGACTATCATCGGCAATTGCAGGAGCATTTTAATGCCCAAGCGCAGCTGTTGCGTCACATGGGCATGGATATGATACCGTCCGAAAGTGGTTCGGAGCGCTCCAGTTCGGCGGCTAGCGATTGTTGTTCGCCGGAAATTGCCCGCTCGTCGGGGGAGCCATCGACCGGGGCGGCGCAATCGGCGACGGGTGAGCGCGATCGGGAACGCATTTCACATACCTCAACTTCAGGAAATGGCGGGGGCAATAATATGGGAAGCAATAGTGCTGGCTGCGGCAGTGGTGCAAATAACGATAATGCGGCGAACAATGGCTCGAATTCGAAAGGCAAGCCAAATGGAACGCCCTTGGATGCGCTCTTTCAGATGACAACAAAAGACTTTGATGAAGCACAAGGTGAGTCTCTTTTTTGATGAACATTTTTTTCAGGGCAGAATTGTGTACAGTGAAACCTCCCTTGGGTGGACACTCACCGTCAGTCATTTTTTGTGCGCCCAGGAGAGGTGTCCGCTCAATGGGAGGGAAGCTCATTTTAGAACTTTTTAATGTTTTAATTAATTGAATAGTCACTATTTTCTCATTTGAACAAAAATGTGCAGGTATTTTTTCAAAAGTGCATATTTCATTTATGTGCGTAAGTACATATTAAGTAATAACAAAATAAAAATAAATATTACATTTCAGTCCATAAACTACATACAACCATAGATTCATTACATAAAAAACTGGGAAATTGTCGATTGACGTAAGTTTTATTTCTAATTTTTTTCAGTGTCAGTACCTTTTTCATCAATAGTTTTCATGTTTTTATCAGTAACAAAATCCAACCAGAAATCTAAATTTTCGGTCCATGCATTTATTATTATCTATTGTTATAAATTCATCAGAATTGGAATTGGATTCTCCAAGGGTTTCTGATAATTCAAATAACGATCCTAAACCACTGCGCAAACCAAACTAAATGTGTGCATAACAATCACATTTTATGCGGGAAGTCCCCTTTTTCCATTTAGTAGTCCGCCTATGAGGAGTTCGCGTCCGCTCAACGGGGGTTTTTGTTTGATTTGTTATGAAAAGAAATCTTAATGTCCGTTGATAAGAGGTTCGCGTCCGCTCAATAGAGTTTTTTGTGTCAATTTTATGCAAAATA